GGGAGTGGAGCAGCTGTAACTCAGTTATTTGGGATTTTACAATGGCATGGCCGGGCTTGGAAGGGCTCCTGAGAATGGTTATTCCCTATTTAATTGTAAATCCAGAGGTAAACATGCATGGGAATAAGCTGGAAGATCATCCCAAATTTTCCTTTATTGGGTTTTTTTGTTGTGTATATTGGTTTGTGGGGGTTGGTGATAGTGTTATCGGAGAGTGGGGCAGCTGTAACTCAGTTATTTGGGATTTTAACGTGTCATGGCCTGGCATTAACAGTCTACCGAAGATGGTTATTCCCTATTTAACTGTAAATCTAGAGGTAAACCTGCCTGGGAATAAGGTGGAAGATCATCCCAAATTTTCCTTTATTGGGTTTTTTTGTTGTGCATATTGGTTTGTGGGGGTTGGTGATGGTGTTATCGGAGAGTGGGGCAGCTGTAACTCAGTTATTTGGGATTTTAATGCGGAATGGCCTGGCTTTAACAGTCTACTGAAGATGGTTATTCCCTATTTAATTGTAAATCTAGAGGTAAACCTGTCTGGGAATAAGCTGGAAAATCATCCCATATTTTCCTTCTTTGGGTTTTTTTGTTGTATATATTGGTTTGTGGTGGTGTTATCAGAGAGTGGGGCAGCTGTAACTCTATTTATTGAGATTTTACAAGGGAATGGCCTGGCTTGGAAAGGATCCTGATGATGATTATTCCCTATTTAATTGTAAATTCAGATAGCAATAGAAGTCCAGAGGTAAACCTGCATAGGAATCAACTGGAAAATCACCCCATATTTTCATTTTTTGGGTTTTTTTTGTTGTATATATTGGTTTGTGGTGGTGTTATCAGAGAGTGGGGCAGCTGTAACTCAGTTTATTGGGATTTTGACATGGCATGGCCTGGCTTGGAAGGGCTCCTGAGAATGGTTGATCCCTATTTAATTGTAAATCCAGAGGTAAACCTGCATGGGAATAAGCTGGAAAATCACCCCATATTTTCATTTTTTGGTTTTTTTTGTTGTGTATATTGGTTTGTGGTGGTGTTATCAGAGAGTGGGGCAGCTGTAACTCAATTATTTGGGATTTTATCGTGGAATGGGTTTGGAAGGGCTCCTGAAGTTGGTTATTCCCTATTTAATTGTAAATCTAGAGGTAAACCTGCCTGGGAATAAGCTGGAAAATCACCCCATATTTTCATTTTTTGTTTTTTTTTGTTGTGTATATTGGTTTTTGGCGGTTGGTGGTGGTGTTACCGGGGAGTGGGGCAGCTGTAAGTCACTTTTTGGGGTTTCCCGTGGGATTCTCGGGGCCGGGCCGGGCGGGCTCCGGGCTGAGCTCCCCCGTGTCCCGCAGCCGCCTGCTCCAGCCTGCGCAGGAGCTGCGACTCCGTCACCTACTGGAGCTCGGGCTTCACGGCGCTGCAGGCCTGCATCGACGCGGCCATCATCCAGGTGGGACCCCGCGGCTGCACAGCACCCCACAACTGCCACAGCACCCCACAACTGCCACAGCACCCCACAACTGCCACAGCACCCCATAAACACCCCACAACTGCCACAGCACCCCATGAACTGCCACAGCACCCCAGAACTGCCACAGCACCCCATGAACACCCACAGCACCCCACAACTGCCACAGCACCCCATGAACACCCACAGCACCCCAGAACTGCCACAGCACCCCATAAACACCCCAGAACTGCCACAGCACCCCAGAACTGCCAGAGCACCCCAGAACTGCCACAGCACCCCATGAACTCCCACAGCACCCCATAAACACCCCAGAACTGCCACAGCACCCCAGAACTGCCACAGCACCCCAGAACTGCCACAGCACCCCATGAACACCCCACAGTGTCCCATGAATGCCACAGCACCCCGTGAACACCCACAGCAGCCCATGAACTGCCACAGCACCCCATGAACACCCCACAGTGTCCCATGAATGCCACAGCACCCCGTGAACACCCACAGCACCCCACAACTGCCACAGCACCCCGTGAACACCCCACAGTGTCCCATGAATGCCACAGCACCCCGTGAACACCCACAGCACCCCGTGAACGCCCACAGCACCCCAGAACTGCCACAGTGTCCCATGAATGCCACAGCACCCCGTGAACGCCCACAGCACCCCGTGAACACCCCACAGCATCCCAGAACTGCCACAGCATCCCACAAACACCCCACAGCACCCCATGAACTCCCACAGCACCCCATAAACACCCACAGTGTCCCATGAACTGCCACAGCACCCCATGAACTGCCACAGCCCAAGTGCCACTGCAAAAATCCCGTAAAATCCCATAAAATCCCATCCTCACCCCAAAAAAGG